CATAGCGTGAGTTTAGTGGCAGGGTTATCTCGCGTGTGCTAGTGAATGTTTGCAGGCTGCTAGATCTGCCTCCTTGCAGTCATCCAACAAGTTGAAATCTTGGTATGCGAACGTAAAAGGAGACAAGGGAAACACAAAAAACACGTTTCTTTTGGCGTTCGCATACCAAGATATTTAATCAACACGGTCTCACGATTCAATCTAAGTTGAAATAGTCGAATGGCCATTACTTTGGAAAGTATAGCTTTCAAAGAAGCAAGCACGCCAAATATTTGCCCACATCTGTGCGGTCGGGCAGTACTCAGAAGAAGGCATGTTGTTTAGCCGCAGATATATACTGCTGCTTAATCTCGATGAGACTACAGCCAGAGGTACTGAGTGGGAATATCAATGACATAAAACAACAAACAAACAAAAAAAATTAAAGACGTTTACCACTTCCTGTAACACCGATTTTGAGCGCAGATCTTAAGAAGGAGGAAGGGAGGGTACTGAGGGGAGGGTATGCCCTTCGTCCCTCATCCGTACCCTCTCCTCGTCCCCTTTTCCTCTTTTCACGCGCGAAACGCACGTTGTCACGCGACGTTTTGACGCGGTGCCGAAACGTCACGTGACGTTTGGGAGTAGTTACAGTGACGTTTCGGCACGTGACTTCTACCAAAACGTCACTCGCGACGTTCCGTCACGAGTGACGTTTCGGCACCGCGAAACGTCCCGACGGCGGCGTGTCGGCACCGCGAAACGTCCCGACGGCGGCGTTTCGGCACCGCGAAACGTCCCGACGGCGGCGTGTCGGCACCGCGAAACGTCCCGACGGCGGCGTGTCGGCACCGCGAAACGTCCCGACGGCGGCGTGTCGGCACCGCGAAACGTCCCGACGGCGGCGTGTCGGCACCGCGAAACGTCCCGACGGCGGCGTGTCGGCACCGCGAAACGTCCCGACGGCGGCGTGTCGGCACCGCGAAACGTCCCGACGGCGGCGTGTCGGCACCGCGAAACGTCCCGACGGCGGCGTGTCGGCACCGCGAAACGTCCCGACGGCGGCGTGTCGGCACCGCGAAACGTCCCGACGGCGGCGTGTCGGCACCGCGAAACGTCCCGACGGCGGCGTGTCGGCACCGCGAAACGTCCCGACGGCGGCGTGTCGGCACCGCGAAACGTCCCGACGGCGGCGTGTCGGCACCGCGAAACGTCCCGACGGCGGCGTGTCGGCACCGCGAAACGTCCCGACGGCGGCGTGTCGGCACCGCGAAACGTCCCGACGGCGGCGTGTCGGCACCGCGAAACGTCCCGACGGCGGCGTGTCGGCACCGCGAAACGTCCCGACGGCGGCGTGTCGGCACCGCGAAACGTCCCGACGGCGGCGTGTCGGCACCGCGAAACGTCCCGACGGCGGCGTGTCGGCACCGCGAAACGTCCCGACGGCGGCGTGTCGGCACCGCGAAACGTCCCGACGGCGGCGTGTCGGCACCGCGAAACGTCCCGACGGCGGCGTGTCGGCACCGCGAAACGTCCCGACGGCGGCGTGTCGGCACCGCGAAACGTCCCGACGGCGGCGTGTCGGCACCGCGAAACGTCCCGACGGCGGCGTGTCGGCACCGCGAAACGTCCCGACGGCGGCGTGTCGGCACCGCGAAACGTCCCGACGGCGGCGTGTCGGCACCGCGAAACGTCCCGACGGCGGCGTGTCGGCACCGCGAAACGTCCCGACGGCGGCGTGTCGGCACCGCGAAACGTCCCGACGGCGGCGTGTCGGCACCGCGAAACGTCCCGACGGCGGCGTGTCGGCACCGCGAAACGTCCCGACGGCGGCGTGTCGGCACCGCGAAACGTCCCGACGGCGGCGTGTCGGCACCGCGAAACGTCCCGACGGCGGCGTGTCGGCACCGCGAAACGTCCCGACGGCGGCGTGTCGGCACCGCGAAACGTCCCGACGGCGGCGTGTCGGCACCGCGAAACGTCCCGACGGCGGCGTGTCGGCACCGCGAAACGTCCCGACGGCGGCGTGTCGGCACCGCGAAACGTCCCGACGGCGGCGTGTCGGCACCGCGAAACGTCCCGACGGCGGCGTGTCGGCACCGCGAAACGTCCCGACGGCGGCGTGTCGGCACCGCGAAACGTCCCGACGGCGGCGTGTCGGCACCGCGAAACGTCCCGACGGCGGCGTGTCGGCACCGCGAAACGTCCCGACGGCGGCGTGTCGGCACCGCGAAACGTCCCGACGGCGGCTTGTCGGCACCGCGAAACGTCCCGACGGCGGCGTGTCGGCACCGCGAAACGTCCCGACGGCGGCGTGTCGGCACCGCGAAACGTCCCGACGGCGGCGTGTCGGCACCGCGAAACGTCCCGACGGCGGCGTGTCGGCACCGCGAAACGTCCCGACGGCGGCGTGTCGGCACCGCGAAACGTCCCGACGGCGGCGTGTCGGCACCGCGAAACGTCCCGACGGCGGCGTGTCGGCACCGCGAAACGTCCCGACGGCGGCGTGTCGGCACCGCGAAACGTCCCGACGGCGGCGTGTCGGCACCGCGAAACGTCCCGACGGCGGCGTGTCGGCACCGCGAAACGTCCCGACGGCGGCGTGTCGGCACCGCGAAACGTCCCGACGGCGGCGTGTCGGCACCGCGAAACGTCCCGACGGCGGCGTGTCGGCACCGCGAAACGTCCCGACGGCGGCGTGTCGGCACCGCGAAACGTCCCGACGGCGGCGTGTCGGCACCGCGAAACGTCCCGACGGCGGCGTGTCGGCACCGCGAAACGTCCCGACGGCGGCGTGTCGGCACCGCGAAACGTCCCGACGGCGGCGTGTCGGCACCGCGAAACGTCCCGACGGCGGCGTGTCGGCACCGCGAAACGTCCCGACGGCGGCGTGTCGGCACCGCGAAACGTCCCGACGGCGGCGTGTCGGCACCGCGAAACGTCCCGACGGCGGCGTGTCGGCACCGCGAAACGTCCCGACGGCGGCGTTTCGGCACCGCGAAACGTCCCGACGGCGGCGTGTCGGCACCGCGAAACTTCCCGAAGGGGACGTTTCGCGCGGTTACGCCGACGCCGCTCAAGCCGGGAACGGGCGCCTAAAAGCTGCGCTCTAAAAGAGAGGAAGGAGAACGCAAAACTACATGTCTATGATTTCACCGAGCTCACCAAAGAATTTCCAACTCAGTGCGACCTGTCCGCACGAACCTATTTTTTTAGTGGACGGTTTTGTATGAATAGCTGACGTTGATTTCGAGATTATGGGGCCTGTTCTGTCTCCTCGGCCCACAATTGTCACTTTAAATGTTATCAACTGCTAGGCTGTTTAGTAAACTTTTTTTTTACTATTTTACATGAAAGAAGGGGGCGCAGAACGACAAACGCAGCCTCGTCTTAGACAGATACTCGATCTCCTCGATTAGAGGAGATGTTTTGTTTTACATAAACCTAAAACTAGACACCGTATGACCCTATTGTCTTTGTATAATATGCAATGTTCAGATAACGTTATTATATGTGTTTCACTCGGACTTCAGAATGGTAGGAACATTTACACTGCCGACCTCGGAGCTAACTACCGAGCACCGCAATCACGTTTATGACGCCCATTTTGCATTTGTCATGTAAGATGCTCACTTCTTCTACCATTTGAAGGGATGTCCACACAGAACACAAATTCTTCCAAGTTCTAGAGTACACGTACAATGGACCTTTTCCGAGAAGCGTTCTGCGCACGCGCGAGCGCCCGATGCCAAGCGGTGGAAGTCGGCACGAAAAATCGAGGAAATTCGGATTGAGGCTGTAGGTCGACGAGTAGAACACGTAATTGCAGCGTATATATAATTGTGTTACACAAAAAAATAAAGTTGACGGAAAGAAAAACGCGACGTTTGGGTGGACGCTACGGATTTCCCTCTTTAAAGTCGCGTTGGGCAAGCGACGCAGCTCAGAGAGCGAAGCGATTTTTAGCGTAGCTCCCATTCTCGATTGGTAGCGCAGGAAGATCACTTCCTCGATTTTTAGTTCGTGTAGCCACCGCCTGGTGCCGTCGGTATTTGGAAAAGGTCCATTCCGCGCCCGATTGGAGCGCATGCAAAGATTTGTTAGCGCTCCTATGGGACTCAAAATTGTGTCCGCTAATACTCGGACGAAGTCTTCTTCAATGTGGACAGCTCTTCAGATGGTAAAATGCACCTACAACAGGCTTTTCCAGCGTAAAGTAGACTTTATAAATGGGATCGCGTAGCTTGGAAGATAGCTGGGGGCTTGTCTTGAAACATAGCAGAGCGTTTGAACCCAGGCGTAAATGCATGAGGAGGTGGCGAAGGGCTCCCTCCCTCTGCCGAAATAAATGTGGGCGCTGTTCAAAAGCTGTCTTATTCCTTTCAGGCAGTCGACAGAACTTTACGCATTGCACAAAATCCTGATTAATAAATTATTTCACCCTCGAGATGTTAAGATGAACCTCAAAGCTTGACTAATTTTTGTTTTGTTTTGGTGTCATTATCTGCTGGGATGAAATCAGTTTCCTTTCTAGCTATCCCTGTGAAACTTTAATATACCTGCTCCTGAAACGGAGTATACAGGGAATAAGAACGTTTAATAAAAAAAAAAATTGACCGACTTTTAAAATATCACACAAAATAAAACGCGAGAAGAAAAAAACTGGACACATTAACAGCTAATTAGTACCCGAATGTTCCATTCGAGTAAAGCACAATAAGAAATTCAACAGTAAGAAAAATGTAAAAAAATGTGTTCATATTTTTTTGTTTTATCCCGTTTTTAGCGATAGCACAGGCAGAGGTTATAGAGATGTAAGAGAGAGCGCTCAGGCGGCCGCGCGGGGAGACAATCCTATGTTCTCCTCTGCCACAAGAGGGTCCTAGTTTCCCGTACGCCGGCGGAGCCGACAACCGGGCTAGGGAAGAGAGCAAGAACCTAGGGACTCCACGGAACCCTGCTAGTCGTCCGGAAGCGCAGAATAATCCCATGGAGACGACACCCGGCGTGGGGAAGACCGCGTGTTCCCAGAACCCGCGCACACGTCGCGGCGGTCGTCGCAGGAGGCGCTCCCCGGGATCGTTGCTACACCCACCGCGTCCAAGACACGAGGAGTGGTAACCGGCCTAGCGTTTCATTATTTTAGCAGGCGATGATTACTTTCGTAACGCGAATTCAGTCACGAATTGGCAACCGTTAGTTGCTCCTGGTGATGCAGCCGGAAATTCATGCACTGCTTTGCTGATTTTGAAGAAAAGAAGAGTATGTGGGTGATGAGATCGACGATGTCTTTGCTTGGATATTGCGCCGTCTTCTTGTGGTCTGCAGTGCTTCAGCTAGGTTCTGGTGAGTTGGTGTTGCTTTGAATCTAGCATGTATTTTTATTTTTCATTACAGGACTTGTTGTTTTTGACGTCTAGGCGGTTATAAATCTGTATAGAGTGTTCCTGATAGCTCGAGTGCGAGCTTGCATGTGCGGGTATGCGGCGATTGACTGATATGTGAACCGCAGCTGACCACTTCCCAAATCATACATTCTAGACCATTTGAAGGAACAGAGAAAGAAAGCTAAATTAATTGACAGTTGGTAAGAATCTTTTAATGATTTTTATGTCCGCATTCAAATCACGGTGCTCGGGAGTGTACCGCTAAGACGTGGTCTTCTTTTGACAAAGACTTGTAATGGGGTAACGGACAACTCAAATTGTTCAATCTTGCATATCTATTGTAAAGCTCTTTTTTTTCAATATATTTGTAGTTTTTTTTTTAATTTTAATATATGAGCACCCTGTCCCCATTTGGCCTTAAATTCCTGGTTTCGTCTAACCGAACTGAAAGCGCCCAGAGCAGAAAAGGAAAGACAAAACGCGAGGAAGATCATATTAGATTGTATTTAGTTGTCTCATTTGCCAAGTTCATGAACTTGCAGTATTTACAGATTTTATACTACACGCAATTATATCTGAATTTTGGGTTACAAATAAGTGCGACATCTATTCACATTGGTAAATTTATGCGCTTGTTATTTCTATACAAAATAACTTGACTAGGCACAGGTCATTCGGTTTATTTTTACTATGAATCATCTTGCTTCAATCATTCTTTACTGAAACATAAAAGACACAAATTAAACATTTCTGAACAATTAGGTGAACGTCTAACTTAGCTAGGACATAGTTTGCATTGCATAATACCACAGCGCAGTCTTAATTCTGAGGCCTAAACAGATGTTCCGCCTCATCAAACGCTTATCTGATTTCGAAGATCGTAGATATTGGCTCTTTGAGTGCTTTGCGGGTAAGTATAGACGCGCAGGCATTTCTTAGACTGTACTGCTTAGTCCGATGGAGCCCACAGGCGACACCACGTTTTCAAAGTTGAGGATGCACTAACCCTCTGATGAATTAGACGAACACGAATATCCATGATAATTAAAAACAAAAACTCATCTAACTTTCCTCGTCGTTTGGTTGCCGTGGAAAACGTACGTCTTTGGTTGAGGTCTCCATTCATTCCACTGGATGAACTCTAGAAGTCGTACAGTGTAAACGCACATGTTTTTTTTCTTCTTCGAATAGGTTGCTTCCTGCAGATAACCTTGTCATTGTGTTTCGTTAGTAGTATATTATTACTAAGTTAATGATTGGGCCAGGTAGTAAACGTTGCACATGATTTGAATAAACGGCTCAAAGAACGCGGATAATTCTTTTTCGAATGGTTTAATAATCCTAAAATTACTCGCGAGACCACGGAAGCAGTCTCATCTTGATATGTCAGCTTGGGGCTAAAGTCAACAGCAGAGTAAAAACGGCACAGCACCATTTTCGAACGCCGGGCCTCCAGCATGCGTCCGCTGCAAGCTGAACCACGCTGGACGTACTCAATTCCAGCCGTGCTTCGGATGCAAGTGGGTACTCAAGGCTTACGACACACAGAGTTGCTGTCGTTGTTATCGTAGTCTACTTCCGCCCTCTGCTGGCGTTCTGAGGGAACGTAAGGTGCGTTAGACAAATTCAAATATGACAGATAACGTTCAATGCGCGACCTACTTTTTTTTTAAAGGCAATCAACCAATTGAAGTATTCATTTTACACGAAGGAGCGCGAAAAAAAGCACTGCCAAGGTTAAAACGCTCAAACAGAATCGCGAACTAAAAAAAAAAAAAACAAGTCTTGGTGCAGTCATACGATAGGATGAAGACAATTTTTTTAGCCCTAACTAATACTTGTACTATAATTGAAAAAAAAACAATATTCCACTTAGTACATTGCATGAATACCAAAAGAGACAAGAAAACAAGAACAAAAATAACTGACAGCTTAAGAAATTGAGGATATGGCTTATTCAGGTTTCCTGCCTCGTGATTCGTTCTTTGGCTATCTTATCATTTAATGCCGTAAAATTATTTCCTGGAGAGCGATAATAAGATCATCGAAACTTGTCACGCCCTGCGGTGCTTCAGCTGTGAGTTACTATAGAAAGTGCATTGTTTGTCGTCTTTCTAGACCACCTTCCCTGACGCTTTAAGTATTCCTGTTGCTTGCTCTACGCGCATCTCGACACAAAACTGCAACCAATAAGCAACATTTGGAATTCAGTGTTTGCGCAAGAAGCCGATCATTTTGCTGGCCGAGAAGACAAACTAAGGATTTTTTACAGAGCAGAACAATATTTTCCTTCATACTAGAACACAAACTTTTTTTTTTCCAGTTGGCGATGAAAGAAAAAGTAGACATAAAAACAATAAAAAAAAATAATTCTCCTAAAAAAAAAACGGAGAGCCACCAGCGCTTTGCAGTTGGTGATGTAAGACGGGTTGGTATTTCGAAGTATTTTTGACTGGTCTGCATTTGATAGGTGAAATAAGGCCCTTCTATGAACGTATCCACAAAATGCACAACTCTGCTTCTATCACAGAAACTGTTCGGGAAAATCGCGATTCAGTCCATGAGTAAGTTATAGTGATTGGTCAATGGGAGATGGAGGGGTGACGCTAACGATCGACGGCCGCCGTCTTTTGCGCCTCGAGCAACGGCCGGAGAATTGAATTTTACAGTTTACGATCGAGAAGAACTCCATTTTTTCGTAATGTGTTCGAGCAACGTTAAGCACGGGCACGATATTATCGATCCGAAAGAACTGCTGCTTGGTGGCACTAAATTTTGAAGTTGTCTCCAAAAGCTCATGGGCTTATTTTTTTTTTTTTATTCGACGTCTTTGCTGTTAATATTGATTGAAGGCGCCGCAATGTGTTACTTGTGTCCGTTGTGAGTCAGGACATTCTCTGACCTGCGACGTCGCTTAGGGTTAATAACTTGACAATGAAAACCCACACCAAGAAACATAAACAAGTGTGTCATTCATTGATAAATCAATCTCATTAATGCAAAACATAGTCGGGACATAACATTATACATATAGGTCTTGGAATGGAGCTATCGTTTTGATTGCGGCATTGCACGCCTGCTTTCGCGACTCAAGAATACAAATGAAGGTAGAAAGGTAACATGTGGGCCGGATAACCAAAAGATAGCCCTGTTGTTTTAAAGAATAGCATTCACTATTATTTATTAGGGAAGCCACGGGGCCTCAACAGGCCAGGAGATGGTTATCGGGAGCTATTTGGGTTCTGTGGACGCTTACATAATAATCCAAGCGTTTGCTTATTCAATATGTTCTATGATGATCAAGGAAATTCGCTCGTGCCATGATGCAATAGAAATTTGAACATTTTAACATTACGGGTAGGAATATTGTACATTATAATCGCCCCTCAGATTTTTTTTTTCACCTCTCTCCTCTGTGCAAATCTGTCGCCGAACAGAAAACAAATGTCATATCGTAAGGTAACTAGACGTCGAATCCCAAAGTAAAATAGCAGAGGTACTAAATTGAGCTTTCAGCCAGACGAAGTTGACAGCTCTAAGCCGCTAATCTGTCGTTTTGAGATGGCGTTGCTTTGAGCGCGGTTGCGCTCAAAGCAACGACGCTCATCATTTACACATATATCTGCTGCTGTCCCAAACACTTCCTGCTCAGTTTTCCTTATAGGCTGGACAGCTTAAGTGGGTATACCAAAGCTTATATTTTTTATTTATCTGTATTTTTTCGTTTCTTAGTCACGTCTACTTGTCCAGCCTGCGTAAAGGAAACACCAGGTTACTTACTTGTGCTGGCACTTTGCCTAAAGGTGCGGCGCCCTAGAACATGTTGAAAAAACGGAAGCTCAGATGGTTGAAGTGTCCCGAGGTTATGTCGTTATACTTCGGCCGCCACATTGTTAACATAGTGTAAGCTAGAGCTTTATTAGAACTCTGTGTGCGTACATATCTTGTACTTTATTATGCCGTGATCAACTGAGCGCACTATACAAAACCGCAAATAAAAGTATCATTATGCGGTTGCATCGTTGTCGTATGTACTTATTAGAATAGATAAATTTACGAATGTTTACTCTTCCTGTTGTTGATCAAATTTGACTTACACAGCTGTCTTAAGGTGGGTCTCAAAACGGCATCTAAAGGTACCATTTGTCAACAGTACTGTACTCTGAACTTGAAGTGTTGCATTGGTCCTCAAAGATATCTCCATAGATGCATGTCGTAGAATAAAAAGAAAAAAATTGCGTGTCTCTTCCAATTGCGGCTTGATTTGTACGTTTTGAACTACGCCCTGAAATGGGTTTTGACAGGTTAGTATAAATTTGTGTACACGCTGTGTTCTTCAGGTGATTAATCATGCTCGAATAGTACTCGAATCTAACATTATGGAGCTGCATGTCAGTCGTTGTATCCGTAGGTAGCTACGTCGAAACTGCCCCTATTTACTTGCCGCGGAGCAGCCCAGCCTGCGGTATTTACGCGGATTAGGAACGTGCAATGCCTGAAATGAAGGGTCACATGATAAGATTGCTGGGAATCTGAGGGATTCAAAAATCATAATATCTTACAATAAAAGGTGTCATTTGAAAAGAGGCTACTTTAGTTTAATATTGGGTTGAGACAACAAATTTTAGACTGCAATTCAGCTAATCGCGCATCCTCTGGCGAGCAAAAATCAACTAGTACAGGAGGGTAGAGAGCCCAAGGCTTCCTTTTCAATACGAAAGTTTGAAAGCATAGTGTACTACTTCAAGCTTGCTCTCCTTCGAAAATCTTCTGCCTTTTGCCTGTGATGCGTCCGAGCATATCAACCGAACCAGGCTCACGTGTTGGAAACATGCATTTCATCGTGCGGACATATGTGGTCATCAACGAATCGTTCCGTCCACGAATCTTTTATTTCGCGTTCGTGGCCCCAGTGACGGAACTTAGACTTGTTAACGACAAGCTCGATAACATGCAAAA